CGGGGGGTTTTCTGCGAGTACTGCTAGAGTTCCGGAAAGGCGCCCCTGTGTTTTCCACCTTGGCCAGACCCGTTTGTCTTGGGGACACCGGCAGCCAGTGTGGCCAGCTCTGCTTCACTCCAGGCAGGAGTGAGCCCCTCCCAGGCCATTCGCCCCGACCCTGTACTATAAGATCAGGCATTTTATCTTCTTGTGCCAAAGTGAGCAGCTTCGCTCCCAAAGTTCCCGGGGAACGAAGAGCAAAGAATACCAGGAGCCCTTCCACAGGCCCGTTGGCGTCGGGAACCAGCCAGCCTCCGCCCAGATGCCTCTCAGTATGGAGGACGAGCGGGCAGGGGGGAGACAGCGCGCCCCACAGGCCTCACGTCCGCTGAGACCAACAGCCTGAGACCCTCTGCCCGACGCCTTGAGAGCATGCTAATAAGGCGAGGAGGCCCACAAGAGCGCGCGGGGCCGGAAGGAGTTAATTTAAGTTCATCTTCCTTCAAAATGAGGTCACTGGTGTGGCACATGGTGGCTGTCTACAGACTCATTCAGCAGCCCGCTCCATTCTTCCACCTGACGGGGGGCAGGAGCGACCCACCAGCGGCCCCCCGCTGGACGTGAAATCGTAAAGCAATTAATCAAACCCACTAAAAGGCCTGGCTGACAAGAGCAGGCTGGCCACACTATCTGTCAATGCTGCTGTGTTATCATGGAAATCCAGCGGCCCCGAGAGGCTGTGCGTCTGTCCCGGCCGTGAGCACAAGGCCTGACTGCGTGCAGCTCCCCTTCCCTCACTCACGGGGGCTTTTCCCAAGGAGAGGCAGCCCCTCACATCCCAAAGGAGGGGTGGGCAGAGGCTGACACAGAAAGCCTCTCCCTGGTCTGACCAACTTGGGGTTCACGAGACACAGTATCAGCTATACCTCGTCCTGCTGCCACAGTCCTCTGGGATGCACTCGGCAGACACGCCACGAGGGGTGTTCTGAGCACCGAGAGTGCCCTGAGCACCTGCCAAGGAGGCGCCAACCAGGCAGGTGTGCGAGGAGACAGCCTAGTGACAACCTCACCCACAAAGTGGCTTCCAAAGGCCAAGAAACCTAGCCCTGACCTTCGACCTAAGGGTGCCGACTGGGTTTGACCTCAAGCAGGCGCAAAGATGGGCTGGCGGCCAGTGTGGGGGACTTGGTGTAGCTCTCAGAGTGGGCAGTGTCTGCGACATGCACACCTGCCAGCAAACCCACGCCCAGCCCTGCTGCTCCTACCACCAGCAGGAGGCTAACGGTTTAAGAGACACCCGGGTCCGGGAGACGAATGTTCCCAGGACCAGATGTGCCCGTCTACCAGCAGGGACCAGCGACTCCTGGCTCCTGACCACCTGACAGGCAGCCTCGGGTCTCTGCGGGAGAGGTCACGCCCAAACCATGTCCCCTGCAGTATGTGCGTCACCTCAGACAGCTGCGGGGTGCTCGGTGACCAGAGAGCAGCGGGGAGCTCAGGGGAGAAGACGCTCCCCTCTGAAGGCAGCAGATGCACAGCGAGGCGGACACAAAAGGCAGCGGCGACTGAGGTCCCCGCTGTGGCCAGGCTGCTCCACGCTCCCAGGGCTGCCACCCAGGCCCCGGTCAGGGAACGCCCCACGGCCATGGCCCTGCTCCAAGCAGCCCTCCTGGGCCCCAGGGCTGGGTCAGCTGACCTGGCCGAACTACCGCCTCTGCCCTGAGCTTTTCACGACGACGGGAAGAAGCCACATGAGTCATTAATGGGGCTTCTTGAAACGCCCCGTTAGTGTTCTCTAAAACGCCTACAAACAACTGACAAATCAATTTTTATTTCCCTCCACAGGACACTGAAAGGAGAAAAGCCATTTCCACGTGTCATGCCAATGGCAACCCAATGCCTGGTCCAGCACGAGAGGCGCCCCACCTGTCAGAAGCCTCCTGCAGAGGGCATCCTCTCAGGTCCCTGAATATCTGAGGTCCCTCTCGCTCAGGGACACACCCTAGCTGCCCCGCCAGGCCTCCCCTGTGCTGCGGAAGCAGAAGTGGCCTGTCTCTGCCCCTTGAGTTGTGGATGGAGGGAAGGAGAAAGCCCGGCAGCTGCCGCTCACCTTTGCCGATGACAAGGCCGCACTTGTCTGCGGGCACTGTGTACGTTATCTCCTGGAAGCCGCCAGGGGTTCCCACGCTCCAGTCGCCTCGACCGCGGCCTCGTCCTCTGGCTACGGCCAGGCCTCCAAAGCCGTCTCTTTCCTGGGAAGAAAGGAAGGCTCTAGTGGCGATTTCTGTCGCTGCCACCAGGACCACTTTGTCTCCTCTTGGGAGGGGGTGAAGGGACAGGATGTAATCCAGGCCACAAAGCAGACCCTAGCACCTCTCCACGTCCCAGACCCAGTCTTTCAAGCAGAAAGAACATGGACGTGGGCGCTGGGGGAGCACGTGTGGGTCTACGGATAGCACAGCACAGGCTTGACTCCCAGTCAGAGGCCCAGTGGCCACTGCCCGAGTTAAATCCTGGGGTTTCCCAAGCACACGTGTGGGCCCTGGAATCCTGAGGAGCCGGAGGGCTGGGGAAAGGGGCTGAGGTGTGGCAGGACCCCGGTGACGGTGCCCACCACCACGTGTGCTCTCTCTCATACGTGGAGAGACCACACGCTCTTGCAATACACAGAAAGACTTGGGAGTTTTCCTTGAGGCTGAGGTGGCTCTTTCCTGTGGCTAATCCCTGGCCTGTTGGAAGCTGGCTAGGTGCTACTGAGCCATGGACATTTGAGAGTGACTCAAGTGGCCTGGGCTGTGAACACCTGTAACCGCTGGGTGAGTCTGAACCTCCTACACTCCAACCAGCAAAACATGACAGGCTCTTAAAAAAAACGGGCCACCCAGATGACATGCGGTTAAGGCAGCGGGATCCAAAACGGCCGAATGCACAGTTTGAGCCCGAGATCCCAGACTCAGCAGCTTGAAAATCACACCGGGCAAGTATGCATGTGTGCCCCAAATTCCTGGCAGAAGGGAGAAGGGATTGGGGTATGGTCATTTCCCCTGGGGGTAGGGGGTTGCTTTCTTACTTTCTGTCTCCAGTGAGTGTATGTGCCCTGTAGGAAAAAAAACAAATAAACCAAAAAACTGGCTGTCCTGTCCCCGAGAAGAAGCAAAACAGGTCAGCCAGTGACCGGTCACTCAGGGCTACTTCAGAGGGACGGGCTGGCACAGGCTGCACTGCCCTCACACTGGGCCATCTTCCACCAGCGGACAGCAAGGCCAAAGCCAGCACTAGCAGAGCAAGAGTCACACGTGGCATCCTAGCCTTCGTCCTGTCACTGTGAGCTGCACAGCTTCAAATCGCTGAGGTGCTGATGGCGAACTCAGGCAAGCCAAGAGCTACTTCCTGGAGGGAGAGCCGGACAGCCATCCTGCACGGTGGAGAAATGTCTGCCGAGACCCGCTCATGCCAATGAAGAGTGAACTGAACATTTACCCCAAATCTAAACCAGCAGAATGCTGAGATCATTGGAGTGCTTTTTCTGCACACGGCTTTTAAGAGAGACAGCTGACAGGTAAGCAGGGTAATTTTAGAAATTTATGCTAAGACACACACGTGCACACCAGCGCCAATGCTTTGGGGGTGCCACTGATCTTGAGAACAAGGCTTTCTCCCCCACATCTCCCAGCTGCTCAGCTCCAGGATCTTAGCCTCTTCCTAGGAGGAGGGTAGAGACCGTAAAATGGCTGTTCTTTAACCTCGTCTAGTCCTCAGAGCTGCTCTGGACTCGTTAGGAATCGAGGAGCCCCCTGCCCTCATTCTCCATCTCGGCATACCTGGGATGGGTCTAGAAATCTGTACATTTAGCACATGCCCCAGACAGCTCTTAGACCATGCAGGGAACACTTCCTGGTACAAATCCTCCATTTGCTGCTGAGAAACCTAGACCTGAGCAGTTCAAAGGCTCCACCGATGGCAGAGCTGGGACTGTAACCTCCAGCCTACTGCTTCTCCTTCTGCTTCGGTCATCCTCATCCCAAAACCTCTGTCAGCCAACAGTGGTTCCTCAGAGCAAGTCACGATGGGATTTCTGGTCTTCAGAAGGAGATGCTAACCCTTATCTAGCAAACTCATTCACGCTCCAGAGATGGGCACCAAGACAGCCCTAGGATGTCAGAGATCCCTGAAGTGTTTTCTAAAGCAAGGCTGGTTTTCATTTAATATAGTTTTGTACTAAATATACGTGCCTGTCTGAAATTTGTCAATCTGCCCGTATTTCTAACTGTTTAAGTAGGTGGAAACTAACTACGTAAAGAAAACCTAGATTCTGGAGTAATCACCTCAGGGGAGCAACAAGCTAGCTGAAAACACAGCGTGAAGGCAGCGAAGAGGCCAGAGAAGCTGCTGGTTTCCAACACAGACCAAGTGTCTTTATTTGAAATGCATAGGGCCACAGGGGTCTGAGCCTGGTTTTCACATATTTGCATATATGTAGTGAGCTATCTCGGAGGACGGGACCCAAGTGGAAGTATGAAATTAATTTATGCTTCATATATACACACAGTGCATGCACGGCCTGAAGGCGGTCTTGTATTTTGAGATTGTAGCATTTAACTGTGACCTGTCACATGAGGTCAGGTGTGGAACTTCCCACTTGTAATGTCACGTTAAGGTTTTGGAGCCTTGGGACCAGCAGTTAGCGTAATGGCTATGTCGCTGGACTCTCACGTAGTTGACCACAGTTCGCGTCCTGGACCCGGTTGCTTAAAACTCAAGCCGGGCGGGTGTGCGTGTGTGCCCAAGATCCCAAGAGGAGAATGGAGGAGAAGGGATTGTGGTGTGGCCACCCCCCCTGGGGGGGGGTGAGTTCTCACTTTCTGTCTCTTTGTCTCTCTCTGTCTGTCTGGTGAGTGTGCGCGCCCTACAGCAAAAACTTCTTAAAAAAAAAAAAGGGAAAAAGATTTTGGAATCTTTTAGATTGGGATTTTGGACTGGGGTGATCAACTGTAACGTGACTCCGGAGAGGGTGAGGGTGTTTCCCACTCCTGTGGGTAAGGTACTCGGACCCCTGAGACGACTCACCTGGGCTGTGAGAATCAGCTCACTGATGACGTGTGCAGCGTGCTGACACCGATCTGGCGGGCCCATGACCTGGGCAGCTCTCTCTGGACTAATCCCGTCATCTGTGGAACCGGGTGAGATGGGATTAGGAAAAAGCTCAACATTAAAGGGACACAAAAGTCCACCTGATTCATAATCAACTGACCTCCCAGTGCCAAAAGGGATCCTATGGGACACAGTAGCTTCAATGGCTCTTAAGGAGAAAATGGGTGACAGGGAAAGGTGTATGCGGATCCCTTTTGCGTGTTTCAGGTAAGTGCTTCTTACGTAGTTACCAGCACTGAAAAAAGACAGCAATCCAGGGCCCGTGGGGAGCACGGACGTTAAGGTGGCGAGAGCCCACACAGTCGACTATGCAGCCTGAGTCTCAGACTTGGGTAACTGGAAAATCACAGAGTGTTTGTGTGTGTGCGCATGCACTGCATCAAAATCCTTAGAGGAGAATGGAGAAGGGATTGTGGTGTGGCCATCTTCCACCAGGGGTGTGGGGGAGGTGGGCTGGGGTGGTGGTGGCAATTTCTCACCTTCTCTTCCTCTTGCTCTCTGGCAGGCACATGTGCCCTACAGCAAACTAAACAACAACCCCCCCCCAAAAAAAACTCCCTAAAACATACTTGAAAAGAAAGGGGTGGGGGTATTGTGCAATCCTGTGGCACGGTGGTTAACCAGTACATGTAGGGGAGACCACCTAGCCGACCTGGTTCAAATCCTGGCTCCAGTGGCTTGAAAAATAGCTAAAGTGTGTGTATGTGTGCCCTCAGTCCTGATGGGACAGAAAAATGGTGGAATGGGATTACAGTGTGACCACGCCCCACTGGGAAACAGTCCTCTTCCCCTGTCACTGATGAGCACGTGCATTCTCAGGCAAAAAGAGAAAAGAAGGGTAAAGTGCCAAGGAGAACAGAGCGACGGTCTGGCACTAATTTCTACAACGCTAAAGTGTGTGTATGTGTGCCCTCAGTCCTGATGGGACAGAAAAATGGTGGAATGGGATTACAGTGTGACCACGCCCCACTGGGAAACAGTCCTCTTCCCCTGTCACTGATGAGCACGTGCATTCTCAGGCAAAAAGAGAAAAGAAGGGTAAAGTGCCAAGGAGAACAGAGCGACGGTCTGGCACTAATTTCTACAACCAGCCCACCATCACGTTCTCCTGTCTTCACAGAATGGAGAAAAATACCAACAGCGTAGGAAATTTTGTTCATAAAAGAAAATGTCTTAAAACTTAATTGTCTTTTACTCTAAGATGTTGGTCGTTTTTTCTGTGGTTTTATTTTAAATTATCTCTAATTTTATGCAATAAAAAAAAGTGTTTTGGGGGCCAGCAGGTGGTGTGGTGGTTAAGGCGCTGGACACTCCCATATGGGTGACCACAGTTCGAGTCCCGGACCTGGTTGTTTGCCTTCTCACTTTCCTTCTCTCTGTGTGTCTGTCTTTCTCTGGTCAAATGAAAATAAATGAATAAATAAAATTAAATGAATAATTCTTAAAAAAAAAATAGTGTGCTTATAAAAGCCTCTACTTGGGAAAATTAAAGCTGGAAATGTATTTTATGCACGTATTTTACTAGTCTAAGGGGAAGACAGGCCTGGCAGCCCTAAAACTAGAGCACTCTGCCCAGAACGGGGGAGGCCGGCAGCCATCGCAGAGAGGACGAGGACATGCAGGAAGCTACAACAGCGCCTTGGTCTGGTGAGACGTCCTGTTAATTTTTTTGTAATACTAAGGATTTTTTGAGAACCATCAAAACCAACCTGGTTTAAACTGAATCCTCACACCAGCATCGTTCTGGATCTTTTTGATCATTTCCCCATTTCTTCCTATTACAATCCCAACAGCAAACCTAGGCACGGAAACCTAGGCAGGGAGAGAGACCCTCGTTAGGGCTTCGTACATATCTGTATTCGAAGGACAGATTTTTGTGACGACTTGGTTTTTACTACAGTGCATTACTGGAAATGTTATAATATAGCCCATTTTTTCTCCCTTAGGGATAATACTGTGGTTGATGATTGCATTCTTGACCATTAAATGCATCTAAAAAATCTGAGATTTGATCCAAACAGTAACAAAAACTGAAGCAAAGAATAGACCCTCTGGAGAAATAAAAATGACCAACAGTACATTTGTCTTCCAAATCCTATCAAGAGAGCATCAACTAAACGTCCTTCTTTTTCATTACGGTAAAACAGGTATAAAACTGATGATGTAAGGATTCCTCAGGGGGACCAGCAGTTAGCGTAATGGCTATGTTGCTGGACTCCCACGTAGTCGACCGCAGTTCACGTCCTGGACCCGGTGGCTTAAAACTCACACAGGGCGCGTGTGTGTGTGTGTGCCCAAGATCCCGAGAGGAGAATGGAGGAGAAGGGATTGCGGCGTGACCATCCCCCCTGGGGGGTGATTTCTCGTCTTCTGTCTCTCTGTCTCTGTCTGTCTGTCTGGCGAGCACACACGCGCCCTATAGCAAAAACCTCTCAAAAGAAAAGGACTCCTCAGTATGCAAGTCAGTGGAGTGAAGAGCACCATGTGTGCAACCATCTATACTCAGATCTCTGCCAGTCCCCAACAACTCCATATATCCACGAACAGTCCTCTCCGGACCCTGGGAACTCCTATGCCACCTTGTTTCCAGTCACCTGCCTGTTCCAGGGTCCACTCACAGTATCTGTCACTGTGCATCTGGCTTACTGCACTGAACACACTGCCTGTGAGGTCTACCCACGCGGTAGTTTATATCAAAACTGCATTCGGAAGAACAGATTTTCACCCTCCTTCACCTCATCAATAGAACGGGCTTGCAAGTTTGATACAATCATGACACAGGGCACCAAGAAAACCTGGACTTTGGTCTTTACCTGGGCAGCAAGCTAACTTTTAAAATAAACCCTCAAAACCAGGGGGAATGACCTTCGTGCCCAGAAATGTAGCTGCCTCCCCTCGCGATAGGGCTGGGCTTGTCCCAGCTGGTCCTCACACTTTCCCTGGAAAGCGGGAGTCCGTTTAAGGTTCCGCAGGTGGGACGAGTTCAAGAGCCTGTGCCAACACGAGGGCTCGGCAGCCCGCCCGCGCCCGCCCGCGCCCTGGGCCTCCAGCATACCTCTATACTGCCTCCTCCCACTCGGGAGCCGAAATCGCCGCGCGCACCTCGAAAGTCAGCTTGGTCTTTCTCTCGGATGATCTCTAGTACCATTTCTCTCGCTTGCTGCATAAACACAAATAAAAGGGATGGGAAAAAAAATCCTGAAAAAAGACACAACATCAGGTGAAATTTCAAGGCCAAACCCTCCCACTCAGGCTTAAAGATTCAGAAGGCACTTAGCTCTTGGGGGCTCACTTGTTACTAAGGGCCGTGGGCAGACAAAGGAACCAAGTCTCAGATGACAAGCTCTTCACTTGCCCCAGATGTCCACAGATGAGGGACCACCTTCCTCCTTTTTTTAAAGACAGGGTCCTGCTTTGTCTTGATCCCCTGGCCTCAGCCTCCCAGCTGAGACACAGGCGCACACCTGGCTCTTTTTTGAAAAGGGTCTTGCTATTCTGCCCAGGGCAACCTGGAGCTCACAACCCTCCTGCTTCAGCCTCCCCAAGTCTGTGGGACTATATGCACGTGATGTTCTGGCCAGCTTTAGGGTGAACTAGGAACTGAACCTGGGCCTCTGATGTGGTGCGGCCTGCAGAGGACAGCATCTTAGCAGCATGCACTGTGGCAGCTGAGCCAACCTGCTATTAAGCCATTGCCGGGTCAATATGTGTGTGTGGCTGGAATTTGATCCTTCTCTCCCATGTATTCCTTGATACCATGTCTCTCTAGTTGGGAAGGTTGGTGGAGATCTCTGACGAGGGGTCACTGGAAAGGGTCCGGGCAGGATCCAGGGGAAAGCAGCTCTACTAGCTTCATGTCACAAAGGCACTCCAGAAAGGCAAGCCCCAGGAATAGGAAGACAATGTCCAGATTTCGGAATTCCTACTTCCTAGCTAAATATTTCAACTACCAATCGGAGAGACTCCCTCCGGGATTGGACTATGTGAGGCAGATTCAACCACCCTCTGCCAAAAGAATGCCACTTCTGAAGACTACCCTCTCCTGTCCACCAGCCCTCTCTGGCACCAGCCACTAAGGATGTGAGGAACTTACCGAGCTGAGGTGATAATGCAGAAACTGAGACCAAATCTCAGCTCCACAAGACATGACACAAACCCCAAGTGGAAACCGAGGTCTTAGGATGTTGGGAAAACCCCAAATATGGAGGGGCACCAGAAGACGGTGCAGAACTCTGTTAATTTCTTTTTTAAAATAAATTATTTCATGTAATTTTACTTACTTATTTTCATTTGACCAGAGAGGGACAGAGTGAGAGAAAGAGAAAGACAGAAAGGGAAAGTAAGAAAGCAAGCCACGGGAACCAGCAGTTAGCGTAATGGCTATGTCGCTGGACTCCCACGTAGTCGACCGCGGTTCGTGTCCTGGACCCGGTGGCTTAAAACTCACGCCGGGCGCGTGTGCGTGTGTGCCCAAGATCCCGAGAGGAGAATGGAGGAGAAGGGATTACAGCGTGGCCATCCCCCCTGGGGGGTGATTTCTCGCTTTCTGTCTCTGTCTCTCTCTTGTCTTGTCTGGCGAGCACATGCACCCTATAGCGAAAAACCTCTCCAAAAAAAAAAAAAGAAAAGAAAGAAAGCCACCAGTTCCAGGGCTTGAATTGTGGTCAGCCATGTGGGGGTCTAGTGACCTTAACCACCATGTCACCTGCCAGCCTTGAACTCTGTTAATTTCTAAGGCCTGGCTATTCTTAGGGGACACATGCTAAGGGCTGGTCATAATATGTGCCACTAAAAATGACACACACACACAGGCACAGCAAAATGTCAGGTTGAACGAGCGAGCACAGGTGAGTGCTCATGAGACAATGGCTCAACTTCTTTACGTGTTTGAATGTTTTCATAAGAAGTTGGGGAATGGGTTTACGGTGTGGTGGTTAAGGGCACTGGACTCCCACATGGCCGACCACGGTTTAAGTTCAGGACCTTGCGGCTTGGCTGGCTTTCTCACTCCCCACCCCCTTGCTCACTCTGTCCCTCTTTGGTCAAATTAAAATAGATGAATGAAGTTAAATAAATTTAAAAAGTTGGGGAATGAAAAAACAATAGTTCACCCTAAACACATCAGACCTCTTGTCAAAGGCAACACAATGTCGAATATGAAGTTTTGAAATAAAAAAAATACTAAATCCTGTAAGTTTTAGTTATTTCCCTGCAAATTTATAAAACTTTTCTCCCCCCCAATGAGAGACTATGCCAAAGGTGGCACTGGGAATGGTGGTGGGGTGGCTGGGAGGCAGACTCCAGCGCCCTCTGTGGTCTGCACACAGTGGCAGTGTTCCATGAGGTGACCGCGAGGAAGGCCTGGCGACCTGCTTTTTGCACAAGTCTCCTGGCTGTATCCCCCCCACCCCCGAGGTATTTTTGTTATAGGATGTGTGTGCTCACTGGAGAGAGAGAGAGATGGACAGAAAGCAAGAAATCACCCACCCGCCCCAGGGAAGGATGGCCATACTGCAATCCCTTTTCCTCCATTCTCCTCTTGGGATTTGGGGCACACACGCACACACACTCGGCATGAGTTTGAAGCCACCAAGTCTGGGACTTGAACCACCATGTGCGAGCCCAGCAACGTAATCATTATACCATCTGCTGGTCCCATTCTGGCTGTGCTTCTGGGGTGCGAGGAAGTGCTGGGGGGCCCTGGGAGGCCCTGGCCTGAAGGAAGTGAAGAGCTGCACATGACCAGAACTAGGAGGGAGCCCGTCAGTCACAGGCCCTCACTCCTGCTCCACAGGCACGTTCTAATCAGCGTAGCTGAGTACCAGGGCTCAGAACCAGGGGCACTGGTTAGCAAGGGACAGGTAACCTCCACGAGATCAAAACCCTGAAGTTCCTGAAGAAGACTGGTTACTGACGACAGCCTGGCCCACTGAGGCACGGTGCACTGGAGCCACTGTGAATGGGGCAATGGCCAGCCAGGTGCAGGAGGGACCCCGAGATAGGTGCTGCCCCTGCATCCTCACACCAGGAGCTGGAGGTGGCACTATCCCCGGTGATGGAAAGGGCCCTGATGCTTTCAGCAAGCGGGTGTCCTGGGGGTGCAGGCACGGGCTGCCTGCTGCTGGGGCGGCTCTGGTCTGTGCTCACCACCAACCCTGGCTGAAGGGCTTGTATAAAAGGCTGAGAGAGACAACAAGCAGACAAAAGCCAAACAGAAATGGCGCCTGTGCTGACACAGGTCAGAAAGGCTGACACTGCAGCTGATCAGACCATCCGCCTGAGGGCGCTGCTCTGTACTCACGCTGAGACGGTCACTGCCAGCCCTGTGCTGCTACTGAGGAACTGAACTTTGATTTGATTTGAATGAATTGAAATGTCACATGGAGTTAGTGGCTCTGGAATTGGGTAGCATAATTCTAGATGCCTTTCATTGAGCTTGGCTCAGGGAAGAGCATACTGTAAGCAGGGAGGTCGGTGAACGGTTAACGGTGAGTGGAGTGAGGCAAAAACTCTAGGTCCCCACGGAGTGCTAGAGCACACGGAGGCCGCCTTGCCGCACGGCCGCCATCCTACCTGTACTTTAAATGGGTCTCCAGTGATGCGAAGAGGCTTGTCTGCTCCCGTGGGCAACGGGCCGTCCTGGATCATGACCATTTTCACACCTGTCCGCTCCTGGAGGCACACACAATGGCAGGGTCCTCATTGTCGTAAGAAAGCAGGGTGGCCTAAGACGCTGGATGGCAGGGGCAACGATTTCCACTTGGGGTTTATAAAGTCCATGGGGCAATGGTAACATGCAGCTCAAAAAGATGCTGGAGCCTACATGCTGATTGGAGCCCCTGGCAGGCAGGGTGGGCAGATGCACAAGTGCCCAAGATCTGATGGGCTGGAGGGGAGGGATCGTGGTGTGACCAGACCCCACAGAGGGTGCCTCTTTCTCTCACGTGCATGCAAACACATGCTGACGTGAATGAAGAGCAAAAAGGGAATAGGAAGCCGGACCAGGTCAAGTCATGTCCACGGTAAGCCCTGCCTCCCACCCACCACCAGGCACTACCTCCTGGCCTGGATCGTGCAGCTGACTTCTGTGAAAGGACACACCTGGGTCATGCCAGACAAGATCCAAATGAGAGTCCTCAAACTTCCTCCCCAAATAAGGCCCCGTCTTTACAGCCTGTAAAGGGTGCCGAGCTACGTGCCCCACAGGCTGTAGGCCAAGTGCGCTACTTCACGTCGCTGGCTGGAACTTACTACGCTGATGGCAGGAAGCTGCCTGAGGGGCCAGAGCCCACGCCCATACACCAGGGTGCCCTCCCTGACCCGAGCACTGGGTAGCATGAAGGCAAGTTGCCACCCCCACCTGCAACTGCAAAAGTCCCAAAGCTCTGAAACGAAAGTGTGTTCACAACTAACTTGGCAGCAACACTGAACTCGGGAAAGCCCACGTCCCTGAGTGTACGAGTACTGCTCACCTGTGGAAACCTGCATTTGATCTCAGGGGACAGTTCCGGACCTTGTAGGGGAGAGGTGTTTAGCTCTGAACCACGATCGGCACCAAGCGTCTGCGGTGAGGACGGAGCTCACAGCTAACGTGCACAGGGCACTTCCTCAGTGACGAGCCCTCGTGCAAGGTCCGAGAACGGGCCTGAGTATTATTTTAGTTTCACCACCACAGTAAGACCAGCACTTCTCCCTTTATATGACAAGAGTCCCGAGCCTTTGGGAGGTATAAGAGCACATTTAGGGTCACACCACTAGGAAGGGGACTGTTGGATCACTGTCCTTCTATCTATGATGCTGCTGTTTGATGGTAAAAACAACTCTGACAGAGATGTGTTGCCATGAGGACTGTGGAAGTTCATGAGCCTTACCAGGGCCTGCCTCCCCAGGACTTGATGTTAGCCTGTGCTCAGAGGAAGGAGGCCTCTCTTGGCTGGCCAGGAAACCCCTTGGGCAGAGACTCGGAAGGGAGCCACAGCCCACGGTGTGTGAAGCCAGCCTAGTCCGGGAGCGTCGGTCACAATCAAACCTCCCAGGCCAGGATGACGACGGGATGCAGGGCGGCTGCCCTGCTCGCGCTGCGTGGGCTCACACACCTGCAGCTGCTTTATGGTCTCCCCGCCTTTGCCGATGACCAGGCCCACTTTGGATGCAGGAATGAGGAGCTCCTGGACCGTGCTGTTGCCATCCATGTCGTTGTGAAAGCCAGGTCCATTCCGACAGCGGTCCACAATCTGCCCCAGGAGTCGTTTGGCTTGTCTTTGGAAGGGAAAGAACCACAAGAGTACTGCATTAAAGGATTGTCCTAGGTGTATGCGAGGGACACGGCACTGGAGACACGCCCAAGGAGTCAGGGCAGCCCTCTGTCCAGCTCCAGCTCCTGCCCCACACCCGGGAGGTCTCTCCGGGTGTGTGTCATCTGCCACACTCCTGGGCTGGAACTCAAAAGCAACACACAGCACGACCTCCATGTTCCAGGCTGCCCTCTGCTCAGCCCGTGCCTCCACAAATGTCTGTCATCTCCTCTCAGGACACCAGCTGCTTTGGCTGTACAGGCCACCTCTGCCCCCTCCACTTCTCCCTACTCCCCAGCCCAGCATAAGCTTCTCAGGGAGTACCTATGCAATACGCGTCTGGTAAGTAAGGCAGGAGAGACAGAGCGATGAGATAGATGGGAAGAAAGAAAGCAAGGGTTAGTAGTCGTCGTGTGAACTCCCAAGCTCCAAAGTGCTGTTCCACAACCAACCACACTGCCCTGTGGCGTCTAAGCAGAGGCCAGGAATCACCAGTTCGGTTCCGAGAGGTGGCCGAGGCAGGGGCTGTGTACCCACAGCCACCCACCCGCTTTGCACATTCCACGCTCGCAAAGCCGGGACCTGCATTCCGGGAGCATGCTACGTGTGCTGGTTTATCTGGGAGCAGGGGAGGGAGACACACCGTCGTGACAGTATCAGGCAGCCTCAAGGTCGTCTGTCGGGCCCATACCCTTTTCTGCACCAGAATTCTCCCTGCTGTCAGTGGCAGTATTTGTTCTCTAAATCACCACGCACAATCTATTTCCTGGTCCCCCTGTTAGAGAATTTAGCTACGAAACAGGCTGCTGTACTCCCACTAGGGAAAACAATACGGCTGCCTGCTGAAGTTATAATCTCTGGCCTCGACTCTCCATCCACACATGAAGCAGGAGTGGTCAGAAGAGCAGGTGGAGAGCGAGGCAGGAAACACGCCGCCTTTGTCGTCGCGAGCCTCTGCACAGTCACTGGTATATCTTCTCGGTTATGGCAGCTTTTTAGTATTTTGCTAGTGTACTAGATTAACCTGTGTTGGAAGAAAAATGCCTCAACTTCAGCAAAATCATCAGTTTGCCCTATAATGCACACCTGCCAGAGACATTTATTCTGGGTCACTGCCTGCAATGTTATGGCAGAACATGGGAATTTACACTCATCCAGAGAACTGGAAACGAGACAGCCCTACCTATGGAGGCAGATGCCATCTAAGCCCCTGTCCCCCGAGGCTCTGCTACCTGGCAGATGGAAAAAGGCAATAAGCAGCCTCTTAGCAGCATTGCCTTTCCCTGGAAGGGGCCTGGATCTCTGAGGCCTGCATCTGGTACAGTGCTCTGAGCGTGTGCGTACCAGGGCATGAAAGCGATGCTAACCTTACAGTGGCTACAAAGGTCTCAAAAGTCAAGACCCCCTCGGGCCAGTCCACATGGCCACCTGAGTGAAGTAAAGGTCACAAAGAGTGGATTTGTTTGGTTCACAATGATCAGAAGGGTAATGAAACCGGCCCCAGGAAAAGGCCTGTTGGGAGGATTCTCAGTAGTTTACAAAGTGACAGGCCTGCTGGTCCCGGCCTGCTCAGGTGAAGGAGCCATTAACAAGAAAGAAGTAAGTTGATTAGAGCATTCAGCAGAGGAATGGACGGACACTCTTAGGCCTTGGTTTAAGAAGGAGATGTTATGATAGTAGTAAGATACTCTGCAGGGTTTGGAAAAAGGGAGATGCCTTGTATATTTTAGGTAACAGAAAAACTCCCCTGGTGTGGCCACCTCCCAGACCTTCCTAAAGAAGCACCTGCTTGCCTGTGTGGCTAGACTGCAGCACAGATCGACAGTGTTCAAGAACAGTTTTGCCCTTCTGTTTTTCCCCCTTTGGGCAAGGAGGAAGAAGAGTGAAAGGAAAAAGTAAATAAAATAAACTTACTCAATACTTTCTGGGGTTCCGGTAAGTACACAGGGCCTCTCTGGAATCCCAGAGCTCTCTATAAGAAGAATCGAGAAGATGAGGTGTGTTGGGGGCACCGTAGCTGTGTACTCTGGCTCTGCGTGCAGACGGTCTCTCTGGGGCTCGCTATACACCAGCCCCATGGAAGCCCGGCCGCCCAGAAAAAGACAGCTGGCTTCTGCCTGTGGGCAGGACACCGAGTGGGGAGCTCTGCCCTTGGGCGTCAAGGCAGAAACAAGTCCTGCAGGGAGAGCTGGGAAGACGCAGGTCTGTGCGCTGGTCCTTGTTCCCAATCTCAGCTTCACCTGTGACCCCTCATGTGCTCAGTTTGTGTGCTATTAATTCCGTGGTTCCACCGTTTCTAAAGGAGTTTAACGGTCATCTGTCTGCACGTAGCTCTAAGCTTCCCTGGCCTTTAATGACGTGCACGTCAGCGTGGTTACCAGTTATCACATGACTGTCCCAAGAGATCAGTGACATCTACATGGAACTGGTTCTGGGCCCCTGGACAAGGCAGGAAAACTTTACTTTCCCAAACATACAGTGCTTTACTTTGCTCCTTAAAAATGGCTTCTTTAAAAAAAAAAAAGGAAGAGAAATAGCCCCACAGCAGTTACTGTCTCCAAGAAACTGTGGTTAAGTATCCTTTTATATGACAGACATTTCTCTATCAGAACATCCTCCAAACCGCTTCCTTCACGTAAAAGGGGTCAAATTAAAATTAAATGACAAAACTGTAACTAAAGTGAAAACTGTTCCTCAATCTGTCTCTGTATCACATAGTCAAGACAGACCTAGGTGGGCAAGTTCCTGAAATGTCTGAGATGTTCCAGAGCCTACTGGCTCAGTCGGCCTTCCCAGCTGTCCTTTTTCCACAAAAGTAAGGGACAGTCTACTCCAGGGAGCCAGCAAGCAGGCCCGAGAAATGGCCCCAAAGCCAAAGGACTCTGCAGGCCCACTCTGTCTGAGATAACATTCTGGTGCAGAAAACACAGGTCCCAGAGTGGCAGGTGTTTGTGAAGGGTCATGCCTGGCCACAGGACTGCGGGAGGGTCTGCCCCAGAAGCTAGATGGGCCTGCTGTTCTTTCAGTTTTCATCCGAGGGTCTGACCCCCAGAGCGCAAGGAAAACACCAATCACGCATACTTACCCAAGACCCTACCCATCTAAGCAACAAGCAAAGGCACTGAATCTGGACAATAAGTACTGAGTTCTAGCAAAGTGCAATCTAGGAAAAAAGCCCTTACCTGAAGCAATCTGAATTTTGCAACCAGATTCGGCTTGAATTCGTGAAATCTGCTCACCTCCTCTGCCAATAACTGAAACAGATTGAACAGGGTTAGAACACGCCACTGTTCCTTACCTAACTGTGTGTTGAATCCATAAACACATCTACCCGGCTCACAGCGCCACAACAGCTTGGCTCAGTGAGCCCAGCCCAACACTCGGAGCATTTCAGCAGCAGCTCACATATGTGGGACATGGCAGCCAGGCAAAGGGGGTTCTAGCTGGGGGAGGAGGCAGCTGGGGGGTGAGGAGTGTGGGGGGGTGTGGCCTCGCCCTCAGGGGGGATCCCCTGCGACATTTTGGGGGTGCAGAGAACAGTGCAAAGCGTTCTACTCTAGGTGACACTCCTAAGACTGAAGTAGAGGACAGACAGAAATGAGGGACAGTGGACGATGCAGATACTTACTGAATCCGACCATTTTATCAGGAACTTTGAATTCTTCTGTTATTACTGCCCTAGAAACAAAGAACATTTTGGAAGAAATGTAGAAGATGGAATTCTGCAGTCAATTCAGGTCCCTATACTTCTCATCCATATTGGCAACACTGCATATAAAAGATGAGCTCAAAAAGAATCAGGCCGATTTGTCCAAAAAATCCACAACCATCTACAGAGTCATTTAACGAACTTTCCTTCCCTCTGGCTTTCGTGAAAACATCAGTCCTCCTCACAAAGGCCTCTTCCTCACACAGCGACTTGCTGCTGCGTAGCTACACCTCATTGGCCCTCTCTAACCAAGGGAGCACCAACCCCAGGAGCCTTTGGGGTTCTGGGAGATGTTTCGCCTTCTATCATGATGTCCTCTCCAGATGAATAGGTAGGTACTCAACGTATCTTCAATATTCCATTTTCCAACCTGTTTTTGGCCTTCCCGTGAGATGTCCCAGATGGAACGTAGCCGACGGAGGCCTAATCGGTGTTGGCCAGCACAGAACGATTACCTCGCTTACTCTGCAAGGTAATTCTGCTAAATGCACCCCCTCCATTATGCACCTCTTTTTCCCCCTTAACAACTACTGCACTAGCTCTTTCAAACAAACCTTCGAATTTGCCATACAGTGTGTTGTGGACAATATCCAATTTGCCCAACACCCCAGAAAGCAATTAAATCTAAACATTTACCTTAGGAGGAAGCTAAATGCAAGTAGGGCTTCTTTAAAAAAAAAAAAAAAAGGCAAGCATTTTTAAATATCTCACACAGCTGGATTTTACCCGTCATGGAAAGGACTGAATCGGCGCACGGCTTTAGGGAGAGTACTGCACTTAGAAGAAATGCAGCAGCAGAGAGAGCGGCCGCCACGGTATCATTCTGACGGGAGCAGACAGTCTTGTCTTTGTGGAATTCACAACCTCTGGCTGGCTTCTGTACGCGAGGGATTCTACCTTGTGGGATGTACTTCCCCCAAAGCAGGCAATTCCTGGCTTCCTAATACGTAATGCCACGGACGTTAGTGCCAAGCCACGCTGGTCTAACACATCCTGCAATGAACGCCGGGTCCCTGTCGGGGTGTGCGTCCTGACGGCGCTCCTGTCCCTGTGGCCATGAGGTTGCGGCTCATGCCGTGTGTAGCGCAAGCTGCCTGCCCAGAATATGTCACCAGGAACTGACTAGAGGGGCTCTGATACTACTGCGACACAAACACCACAGAGCCAGCAGCTCCTGGCCCTCGGGAACAATCTGAGTAAATGTTCGCTGAACAAGAAAGATACCAAGAGGAGCCACTTTTGGCTTCCTGGAAAAAAGGTTCTCTTCAAAAAGCTGGGCTGGAACGTCTCTAATACCCAAAGCATACACATTTTGGAAAGTAAAATTGTGACCAATTATGGCTTTATGGGAAGTTGACTGATACTAAAAACAGTCTCACTTACATTATTTTAATCATTAACAATCAAAACAAAGCAACCAAAGAAACAACAAAACCACCTAGGATACATCTTTTGGTGGACTGATCTGGGTGGTTTCCGGAAACTCCCATTAATACAGAGTGCCAGGAGAGAGGTGCCTCACTGGCTTCTGAAGGTTAAGGGTACTATGCTAGTAACAGATGCAGGGCTCCAAATTTCATCCTTAAGGAAGAGACACTCCCATAGTGTCTTGCACACTTTTTTCCTTTCTGAGATGATGCCATGGCCAGATACTCTATTTTACAGAGTGGCCTTTTTGAAGCTCAAAGGTCTTCTTAGCTCTCTAAGTCTTCACCGTTCAACAGCCAATTGTGAGGGGAAACAAAGGGAGAGAACCCACAGGAAGCTTGGCCGAGGTTCTCTGCAAGCCCCTCTCCCTACAGGAGGGGTGACTCTGGCTTCTGGCCACCCTGGCCCATGCAAGGGCCACCCACCCTGCTCCCTGAGCACCAGAAGCATTGTCTTGGGAAAGCCTGGCCCCTCACACCTCAGGATCTTTGCTTGAGTGAGCGGGTTAAGGATTCATGAAACGCTGGGAAAATCATAAAACCAGAAGGGAAAATTTCACGCTCTCCCTTTAAATTAAATGTACTGCACAGAAAGAGCAACTCCGATGTCTGAAGGTCTTTAAACTTACGTACAATAATGGCTGGATTTTAGTACTGCATATCACTTTGTCCCTTGAGCTTACGTTACAGTCTTGGAAATGGTTAGCAAAAAACTTGAGCCTTAAGGAAATCTAGCCCATAGTTTTTTTTCACACTTTCAACCTCTGACTTTCTACCACTCTAGTACAGATGGTGGATCAATAAACAATTAGAAGTGATCAATAAATAATAAAACATAACCCACTGCTTACCTTTGATGTACCAAGGCCCCTAACTGGTTACCTACTGTGGCAAAGAGAAAGAGAGAAGAAAAATCAAAGCATTAGCACGGATAAACTAACTTCATCCTTATACGAGTTCTTACCGTTTCGGGGGGTGGGGAGAAAGGCTGAAAGAAAGCAAACAGTAATTTAGGCTCAGTGGCTGCAATGAATGCGTTACATGATATGAAACAGGAGGGGACATCTTGATCAGCACCGTCTCTAACCCAGTGTCCAGCTGAACACAGGATAAGAAATTGATCTGTGTGTCCACGTGCTGAGAGGCCTGGGGACAATCTCACTTGCCTAAATCCCCCTAACTTCCTCCCTCCCTCCTGCTCTGGACCCGAACTCTATGTATAGACAGAGGGTTCCGTCTTTCTTTCAAAAACCAATCAGAAGATGTGCTCCTGGGGAGCATGGCTAAGGGCTGCTCTATGGGGCCGCAATGCCCAGCACACGCACACATGTTCTTGCCAGCCACAGGGGCGGAGTCGGCCCAGGGTACTCTCCCTGGCATTAGCACCTGACAGGGAGGAGCGGCACCCCTCCCAGGGGCCTTCCCACTGACCCAGTTCCCAACCTGGTGGATAAAGAATGAGCAGCGGCTTTTCAAGCCCATTTCACAGAGACGACAGAACACAACCGTCTCTTACTATTAAAACTGACCCTTAATAAAACCCCCACAAACAGTTTCTCCCCTTTCAGCTGTCGACGAGTATTCCCTTCACCCATCAGCAAGAACGATTCCGTGCGGTTTCGCTTTTGAAAAATGCAGCCCAGGAAATACAATCAGCAGACAATACAAAGCACAAATCCTAAATAGGACAAAGAACCGAAGGAATCTTCCTAGATGTTAAAGAAAGCATTCAAAAGTATGTCTTTGGGGAAAGTTATTATAAGGCTAGAGATGACAAAAACGGGA